GATCTATACAACTATACTGAGTGGACCTTTCTGGGTTACGGTTTCTGGGAGAGATCTCATAATCTGTCATGATTAGAAGTTAAACAAAGTCAGTAGGCTCGAAGCCTCTGTCACGATGACTTGCCACTTGGTGCTAGCACAATCCTCGGCGGTTTCCGAACTCAATGTCACTGACAAGGCCTGCGTCAACCCGTAAGGTAGTTTTCAGACTCTTCCCAACAGTGACAGACACTGGGATCATGTCATCAGGGTGATATTATCAGGAAGACCGCTACTTGATTATATTGATCATGGAAAGATTCGAACCCGGGTCTCATGATCAGAACACTAACACTCCAATCTCTCGTCCAATATGAAACTAATCCTTTTATCTGTGAGTTTCTTTTCTCTCATTTCTCGCTTGTGGAACTCTTTTCTGCTTTCTTGTTTTCCAGTCAAATTTGATCTTCAAAAGTTTAAATGCAATGTCAATCGTTATCTTCTATCTTCTTGATTTCTGTTCTTTTATTGTTCTCTCTTCTTAATAATAATTTCTCTTTCTTATAGTCTCTCATAATTCGTCACCCCATTGCGTCTTAGTGGTTTTATTGGAGTTAAATGATTAAAAAGATTCGTACTTGAAAGTATCTGAAATTATGGATGGAAATATTTGTAATAAAACTAAATTAGTCTGTTCCTTATCATTACACTTCGTGCCAAATTATTATCGAGATAACTTTTTTTCTAATATTTCAAAAACCGTCCAATCAATTCACACAAAATTTTCACACAATGTTGGCAACACTGAGCTACGCAATCACTGAAATTTTCTGATCTGCGCAAGGTAAACAAACTGGCGCCATATTTGTTATCAGCACGGTGATTTGAGCGTGCCAAATTATTAGAAAAGTATAAGAATTTAGTGAAAAGATGGGCCGTAAAAGCAGTTTAAGTGATGCTGAAAAGAAATCTATTACCTCAGGACTCTCAAAAGGTAAATCTATCCTGTGTGAAAATTTTGTGTGAATTGATTGGACGGTTTTTGAAATATTAGAAAAAAAGTTATCTTGATAATAATTTGGCACGCAGTGTAAATACTTTGTTACTAAAAACTATATTCAGTAATTAAACTGAAACTGTTTACGTACTGAGCTATTTGATGTAATGTGGTGCAGTAAAATATTCCAGGTGAGCACTTTGTTGTTTTGAGTTTATTTTATTGAGAATGGATCTGAATGGATATTTTCAAGAATGAAGCTCTTTGTTGGCTGAATTGAATTAATCTTCACTCGTTCAAGTGAATAAAAATCTACTGAGCTTGTCCGCCTTTTTTTTGGTCACAGATTGTAATAAATTAAATCCAATTATATTCCACCGACTTCTAAGACCTTACAGGCGGGAAGCTTTGGTTTAGATGTTAACATAGTTTTCTTAATTCAACATTCTCCAAACAAGGTATCAGTTTCATGTTGAAGTTTTCTCATCGCTAATAAAGATGATTGTATTGTTGATAAATAAATTTAATTTTCTTACGTCTGAACGAATTTTTATTCTGTCTCCAAAATTTCACTTTACTTTCTGTAATTTTTATTTCATACAATGATGATATTTGCGAAAAAAATGTTTTCTCATTTGCACTGACAGATATTATGATGCTCTGAACCGAAATAATTATGTAACACCTACGTCTTTCCTGGAACTCATCAGAACATTTAAAAGTCTTTTGAATAAGAAACGAATGGAGATTCTAACATTGAAGAACCGTTACGTTGTTGGACTGGAGAAAATTGAATTCTCAAAGATGCAGGTATTATTTTTTAAAGAATTTTTTTTTTTTTACTACGATTTCTTTCATTCTTTTAGCGCTCATCTTATATATATATATATATATATATATTCATAAATTATTCATACAAAAAACAAATACAAAGGTTAATGATTTAATTGGCGAGAAATCCATCATCGCGAACAATTCAAATAATATACAAAAACCCCGAACCTGTTTATGAATGAAAAGATATATATATACATATGAAGAAAAATATACAGAAAAAAACAAACAAAAATCTTAATATGCAATTATGCTGTATTAATGTTAATATAAAGTCAACGTCAGATGTTTCGGTCTATTTTATATTAACATTAATACAGCATAATTGCATATTAAGATTGTTGTTTGTTTTTCTGTATATTTTTCTTCATCCATATATATATATATATATATATATATATATATATATATATATATATATATATATATATATATATATATATATATATATATATATATATATATATATATATATATAACCAATTTGTGAAGCGCAGGCGTTATATTGAGTTTAGTTTCTTATCTTATTGCCGGGACCCGCTGTTCTCGTAAGTATGGCACTTGTGTCGTATTGTAACGGCCCGGGTTCGATTCTCAGTAGTGGATGCGCATTGCTAATGAGTCTCAGAATAGGACGAAACGGTCGTCCAGTGCCTTCCGGATTCTGTTGAGGATTCTTCAAGACTCTTTAAATTACTTAATTATGATTGTTCAAATCCCTCTTATGATTTCTATGTATGCATGTATATATATGTTTCGATTTTGTTGTTACTTTTCCTCATTAATGAGATCAATACACAGATCCGAGCAACAAAGACTAATGTCGAATTTGCAATATTTTTTTAACTTCTTTCTCATATAATTTTACCTTACGTCCTAATATATATAGTTTTATTTCAAAATACTCTATTTTAGGAATACGTTTCCACAACATCGTCCACGTGACCATATTATCTGTTTTGATTAGTCTTACACTTATATCTTTAGCGAAAGGTGGGTAAAAGAAGCGAGCTTGCTTCGTGTGAACGGGGCTAGCCTTGATTTTCTCTTCTAGGTCAACCTATTGCACATCGGGGTGGCTTCCTGTGGAACCCTCCCCTTGGTTAGGTTAGACAAGCTTCAGTGTACCTACTTAATGGGAGTAAGTGTTGTTCCTGGCCTGCATCCCGGCCGTTCTTTGGTTATGATCCAAGTCGAGATTCCCAACCTCCCCAGTTTGTTTTGAGCCCCCCCTTTCATCTCGACTGGGTCAGTTTTATATTTTCCCATTCCAGCTTAATATTTTATACATTTTCCCACTCCCTTAGCGAGAGCGTCTCTTGATTTTGTCCCCTGGGCAGAATACAGCGGTCTCTCTGTTTTATGGATTGGACGGTCCCTACTAACATCAATTATGTTTAGTTTGTATTTGTGTTTATTTTAAGTTTATTATTGAGTTCATTTCCCTTCCCTCTCATTTTATCATTATTAGAATTGTATATATATATATCACCATTAAAATTTTTATGGCATGGGGCGCGATTTTGGTAGGTCTCCCTTGAGAGCACGTGGTATTATGGTGGTTGATGGATTGTTTGGTGATGGACGAGTTCTTTTGGTGAATGGGTAAAATGTAATGTACAAATGGGTCTCGAATCTGATTAGCTAGGTGTAAGATAGTTAGTGTTGACTAGCCTCTACCCCTCCCCTTTATTGGCCTCGTGCCACAATTTGTACTTTTTGTACGAATAAATATCAGTCTTACTCTTATGTCCATCGTCTTTTCATGTTGAATTGAATATAGTCTAATGTTAATTATGTTTTATGAATATGTCCTGAAGATGGTCTACTAGACCGAAACGTCCGACGTTGACATTATATTAACATTAAAACAGCATAATTGCATATTAGGATTTTTGTTTGTTTTTTCCGTATATTTTTTCATATATATATATATATATATATATATATATATATATATTTTATATTTCGTATTTTTTTTGCTAACATATTTTTAATCGCTATTTGCCTTCCAGGTGTAAGCGATCATGACTCTCAACACATTCTTTTTATTTATTATCAGTGAATTGTCATGATTTCTTGGGAAAGATAGTGGAGTAGTTTCCCGGTGCTGTCGCCACGGTTTTGGATTTAGAGTACTCCTTCTCCTTGATTGAGTTCCATTCAACTCCTTAGAACCCAATCTACTGTACAATTTAACCCATAGTTAGTTGTGGTGAGTAGAAGATATAGCTTAATGACTTTCCCAATTGCATTTGTGAGAAAGTGAACGCAGTAGAATACCCAGAATTAGAACTTGGCTGGTTGCTTCCCATTTCTGCACCGATAACAATTAGGTTGTCCGCACATCCAACTTTACCCACTGTGCTCAAATTTAGAGAATTTCTAAATATCAACTTTTCTCACTTCTTCTTTTTATGTGCCATGTCCTTTCAAGACGTGGGCGATCATGGCTCTCCACCTCCCTCTATCCCTTGCAGCTCTCAAAAAGTTCTTTCCCTCTGCTTCCTCCCCCAGGCCACGTTCTGTCATCCACTTGCTTAAGTCCGCCACGTGTGTCACACGTTGTTTTCCCTTGTCTCTATTTCCCTCTATTCAACTCGTGTGTATCAGATTCTCCAGGCCCTCTTTCCTCATTATGTGTTCCAGAAATTTCAGCTGCTTCTTCCTGATTTTAAGTATAAGCTTCCTCCTTGTTTGTATCCTCTCTAAGACCTCACCGTTGCTCACACGCTCGGTCTATGATATCCTTAACATCCTTCTGTAGATCCACATCTCCATCGCCTCGGGTCTCTTCTTCATCTTTCAGGAAATCGTCTAACATTCGTTACCGTAAAGAAGACTCACTATTAACATTAAAAAAATTTCATGATGATTCAGACTGCAATTAAAATTGTTCCGGTTGGAACTATACTAAAAATTAAGATTACAAGTAAAACCGGATGCTGTTTAAAAAGCAACTGGAAGCAAAGAAATGTCGAAGAACGAACTATCCGACATGTGAGATCAAAGCAAACATGATGAAGAATGCTAGCTGGAATAATATATGGTGTAATGGCTTCAACTTTATTTTGATCAATCTGTATAATCCTTTAACATAAAGTATTGTTGGGTATGAATGTTGTATGTAATTATCAATTTGCAGATAAACATTATGCAGAAAGAGCTGTTTGCACTGCAACCCAGACTGATGGAAACAAGCAAAGAGACAGAGAAATTGATTGGGATCATCGAACTTGAAACCCAGGAGGTCGAAGCAAGGAAAAAGATTGTCGAACATGACGAAGCCATTGCAAATGAAGCAGCAATGAATGCCAAGTCTATAAAGGTAAGTTCACATGATTAAATTAATTTCTTCGTGGATTTTTTAAACATTTAAATTACTATCAAACGTTAAAATCTGTTTTTTTTTTACCTAAATTGCTAAAACTATACCACCCCTCTTCTTCCTCCGTAAACCCTAAATGCATCGCCTTTCTCTTTATTTCCCCCTTCTTTCTTTTTTTCTTTTTCTCTCTTCTCTTCTTCCCATTCAACATATCATTTCCGTTAAGTTGACCGATTAAATAGGTCAATGTCTGGTCCCTCCTCCCCCAATACTAAGTATGATAGAAAGAAATATTAAAATAAACCCTCTCTAAACTCGACCATGTCTCTCAAACCACTCCTCGCTACCCTCTCTGTTAAATTACATAATATTAATACTACCCGTCAAAAGTGTAAATTTTCATTTCATTTTTCGTTTCACCTTTTGGAAGTGATGTCTGATCCAGGGTACTTTAAAAGGTCTCTGGTGAAGTAAACTATTATAATGGAGCCTTAAAGTGATCTGTTTTTCTTTAATATATATATATGCATGTATAAATATGCATTTCTATGTGCATATGTATGAGTATTGATGTATATATGATATATGCATATGTGTGTATCAACCCGTGTATCTGGCGATGTTTATACTCAACATCTTGTCTTAAAAATTAGTAATGGTCTACAACTGTTTTCTATTGAATTGGTAGTATTAATATTATGTAATTTAACAGAGAGGGTAGCGAGGAGTGGTTTGAGAGACATGGTCGAGTTTAGAGAGGGTTTATTTTAATATTTCTTTCTATCATACTTAGTATTGAGGAAGGAGGGACCAGACATTGACCTATTTAATCGGTCAGCTTAACGGAAATGATATGTTGAATGGGAAGAAGAGAAGAGAGAAAAAGAAAAAAGAAAGAAGGGGGAAATAAAGAGAAAGGCGATGCATTTAGGGTTTACGGAGGAAGAAGAGGGGTGGTATAGTTTTAGCAATTTAGGTAAAAAAAAAACAGATTTTAACGTTTGATAGTAATTTAAATGTTTAAAAAATCCACGAAGAAATTAATTTAATGCTTGTTAGCAATTTAAATGTTTAACACTTTTACAAATAAATTAGGGATTTAATATGAGTTAAATACTATATTTAAAAACACATTAATAAAAACACATTAAAAATATTTAAAATATAAAAGTTTACTGATAGTAATCTTTTAATATTGTAAATGACTGTTAAGGTAACATCTTTATCAGTTTGAGTCTAATTCATGAATGTATTTTGTAACTATTTTTAGATGGGTAATCTTTCTTACTTAAAGTTTAGGTTTCGAATTAAGATGGCGTAATATATACTGGATGTACCGAGAAGAAACTCTGAGGATGTAGGGCTGCTAAAATTTAAATTTTAAAATTCCTTGTGTCCTACCTGCCTAGACATAAGCGCTCAGGTGATTTTTAGTTTGCTGAAATCCTTTTAAGGACGAAACGCGCTATATAATTTTTTTCGGCTTTGTTATTATATTATCCAACATTCTGTCTATATTTCTGAGATGAGGTATTATGTACATTATTTACATTATTCGGACTATTGTCCTCATCTTTGTCGCCGCCATATTTATCACAACGTTTCATAACTGATAACTGACATCCATCAAACAGAGTTCAATACCCGGTTAAGGCAGTGGAGAACTTTCAGAGGGAAATTAACAGGAGATAACTGATAACTGACACCCATCAAACATGGCACGTGGAACTAGAACAGTCTACCCCAGTGAGCGAAATAAAGGGTTCAGTTCGACATTCCAACCACCTGAAGAAGACCGGAGCGTACAACGGCCGATACGTTGTGATAAATATGGCGACAAAGATGAGGAGAGTCCGAATAATGTAAATAATTATCCAACATTGTTTTAATATTCAGTAATTTATATATCATATCTCCCCACGTACAATCGTACAAACCATTGAGTGATTAATTTTTTTACGACTTACCTACTTTTTGCAGGTTATTTAAACTATAAAAATATATTTAGATTCTAAGATTTTTTTTTGTGGGAGATAATAATGATTTACTGATGCAAGTCCTACTAATTAACCCATAGCTGGGGGGAAGAAGAGGTGGATTATTATCTTTCCCAAATAAATAATATCTTTCGCAAATAGTGCGTAAGTGAATATAATGAACCCAAAATTTAGAATTGGTGCTCGGCACTTCGATCTCTAATTGCGAACAGTTATTCATTACACCACCCGCACATCCAAGCTTACAACACCTGGTGTACCCAAGCTGTTACCCATCTAAGTACTGACCAGGCTCGATGTTGCTTAACTTCCGTAATCATACAAGAACCATTATAAGCACAAATACATTTATATAGACAGAGAAGAAAAACATCCATTCTTTCTTGCATAAAATCTTGAACAAATGAAGATTTTTCTTTAGCCGAATTGTTAAATGACATTAGTTGCCGAATACTGATTGATTGATTGATTCGTTTTTTACGGCTTATCAACCATTTGCAGGTTATTTAAAGCCAGAAAATATTTTTAGATTGTAAGAATTTTTTTATAATAATGATTTAGTGATACGAGTCTTACTAGTTAACCAATAACTTGTGAGGGGGGAGAGCTAGATTCATATATTTCCTGAGGATATTTGTGCATAAGTGAATATACCGGATCCAACTGGGATTAGAACTGGACACTCCAATTAACAATTCTGAGCCACTATCCATTACGCTATCCGCACATCCAATCTTACATCACCTAGTATTACCAAGCTGAGTAACTGAGCATTTTGCAGAATAGTATCTGGAAAATATCACTTCATGAAGAAAAAAAACATTCTAATGACTGAAAAGGATTTCTAATGACATTGTCAATCTATTTAACTTTTTTCTTTTTCTTCAGGACGAATGTGAAGAGAAATTAGCCTCAGCCATGCCGGCCCTTAACACCGCAATCACTGCCCTCAACACTCTGAAACAAAATGATATTACAATTGTGAAGGCAATGACTAATCCACCGCATGGAGTTAAGCTCGTCATGGAAGCAGTATGCATTATGAAGGTTAGGCTTTAATTTATAACGCGTTATTTAAACAAATTTTTAAGTCATTTATTTGAATGATAAATTCAATGAGGATATTGAAATGTTCTCGGACATATCAATTTACCAAAATCTGAACAAAGGTAAAAATGTGTTTTTGAACTCCTTTTCACCCGAGTCAGTTTCCTTTCAGCATGTCCCTTTTATATTCTAAAGAATTTTGACTCGGTGGCACGTTATATTTTTGGTTTAGAGATTTCGTGTGCTTTTTGTTAACGCTTTTACCAGTATTGTCAAAAATGGCATTACATTGAAGTAATTTTGCAAATGCATCTTATAAAATATCATAAATTCTCTTGTTTTCTTGTTTATACACCTATTTTTAATGTCATGACCCTTCAGGACATTGGTAATCACGGCTATCTACAGATTGCTTTTCATTATTATCCGTGAATTGCAAGGATTCTTGCGAAAGATAGTGAAGTAGTTTTCCCTTCGGCTTCTGTAGGGTTTTTAATTCAGAATGATTCTTCTCCCTTGAAGATATTATTGATGATGGCTTCCCACAGATTCCTTTTCTTTATTATCTGTGAATTGCCAAGACTTCTTGGGAAAGTAGTTTCCCCGTTGTCTTCTATACTGTTTTGAATTCAGATTAATTCTTGTCTTTGGCTACAACCCAAAGCTAGATAGCCTAGTCTGTCCTGCTGTTTAGCTGGAGAAGGGAGAAAAGATGTATTTATGTTCTTTCGAAAGAGAACGCCGTAGACTAGCCCGGGATTTGAACTCGTCTCCTTGATTCCCACATCTGTGCTGATAATAGTTGCGCTACCCGTACGTATTATGTTCAATGCCTTTTGAATATTAAATTGAATGAATGAATAAAATTCATTCCGGCATTGAATAAATACAGAATATCATCAAATTTACGCATCTAATAGATGCGTCCACTAAAACCAGATGGTGACTACATCACAAGAAAAGTCAACTATACAGAGACAGTCAATTCACCTATCTTTGTGTCATTAAATCTTCTGATGACGTAAACATGCGTTACATACAAAATATACGGATAATGATGCACGTTACATTTTATATATCCGTATTGTTGGATATTTTTTTTTATTCCAAAGGCATAGATGTTTTATTGAATCGATATCAATTTTATTCTTTCTTGATTTAGAAAATTGTGTTATAGAATGCATGGGCTATTTCAAATTGTACTGGCCCCATGGCGTATTGATTAGAATTTTGACGAGGCGAACAGAGTTGGATGATTTGAATCACGTCGGCGTGGAATTCTGACAGGGATGAATTGTCTTTAAGTTTTAATAACGACCAAAACCACGCAAAGACAGTCCATACGGTTGCGAGAAAAGAAAAATAAAGATACGTTGTTCAACCCAGATTCTTTAATGAGACATTCCGTCACGTGGTGATGGGTAGTTAGCCAAACTGTTGAAACCCGCCCTCTCTGTCTTCCTCTTCCTTTGTCCAAGCAACGATGTTACTATTGTCTTCCCCTGAAATAAGAAGAAACCTCAGGAAATAGTCCATCGTTCATTCAGTCTGTGATGCAGCGTTGGGACCTGAAGAATTACCAGTAGAGAAATCAGAGACGACACGAAACACAACAAATTTTCAGAACGAGAAAAAAGAACTGAAATAGTGACATTGGATTCATATTTTTGCGGGTAAGAGGCTTAAAAAACGAAAGATTTTAGCGATGCTTAAGGCAAAGTTATGATTTCAGGATAACCAATATGAATCGAAGCTTTTGAAATAAACGGAAACATTATACTTTGAAGCTTCCATGGTATATTTATCAAGTATGTTTTAGAAATTACAAATTCCTTGAAAAACATGTTGAAGACAATCATTTTCTATCATTCGTGAATGCTTAAAGTCTCTTAAAACTTAAATTTCATTTTCAGCAGAAACACTTATTTTCCTCCTTTTAAAAAAATCAAATCAAATCTGCATATTTTTTGTTTAACAAGGGAATCAAACCAGAAAAGAAAGTCGATCAAAATGGTAAAAATTCTGAAGATTATTGGAGTGCCGCCAAAAAAGTAAGTCTGCTTCTTGTCCATTCTTTGGAACGATTTTTAACGATCCAAATGACTGAGGTAGTTTCATCTTGACCACCGAATTCGAACCTACATGGTAATATCTTCAGTAGCCAAATTTCGTAAAATCCTCATCCATCTATCTATCTATCTATCTATCTATCTATCTATCTATCTATGAGAGTCTGATCATTATCCATCTATCTATCTATGAGAGTCTGATCATTATCTATCTATCTATCTATCTATCTATCTATCTATCTATCTATCTAAAGAATGTTCTATCCTTTTTTGTTGATACTTTTTCGATATAACTGATTGACATTATTAGGCAGTATTTTGAGCAGCATTTGAACATATTTGATATGTGTTTGAAATGAACAGCATTATCAACCTTATATCTATAAAAAAAAAAGTATCAATCTGAAAATTTTAAATGGAATATAGCACAGTGCTTTTTAATGCAAAATTAAATCAGCACATTGCTTTTTAAAGCAAATTATAACCAAATAAAGGCTCTTAATTTTTGTAATGTAAATATTGTTTTACAGTAGGATCAGATACAATTAACAGTGCCAGCCCTGAATTAAAAAAAGAAACAAATATATACGGTTGGTAAGAAAGTCATTTCGATTTCTTTTAGAAACATCAATTACAAATTCAATCAAGGTAATAGTCTCCTTCGATTTTCGATAACATAATCCCATCAAGATATTCATTCCTAAAGTTTAAAAACTCTTTGGGGTTTGGAGAAAGAAAACCTTTTTTTTTGTGTGTGTGTTTTGTAATCGTTTCATAATTGGTGTACTGTTTCCCGTCGAGGAAATGCTGTAAAGATCTAAAAAGGTGATGATCCGACTCATCAACGTCGAGAGATTAGTGTGAATGAAATAAAACCCAAATCTTTTTCTGCAACGTCTTGAGTTGTCATGCAAGAATAACATACTTTTCCGAATGGTCAGTGAATCTCACTTAGCCCTCAAAGATTGATTTAGTAGTGTTTCAACTTAACGACAATATCTCTAAGAATTAACTTGAATTACAATTCAACCCTTCATGATTACCTGTCTTTTATCAGAAAAAGTTTCAAAATACAGTGTAACCCGGATATAAGAGAGTTGTCGGGACCGGAGAAGAAGTTTCTTATATCCGGGTTTCTCTTATATCCGGGTTTGGTCTATTTTGTTTACATTAACACAGGCTCTAATTTGGGAACAGAGAAAATCTCTCTTATATCCGGGTTTCTCTTATATCCGGGTCTCTTATATCCGGGTTACACTGTAATATTAGTTCAAACCCCAGGGAGTCATCACCTAACCAGTACCTCTCATTCTGGAGGGAGCTAGAGTCATTACCCAGCGCCTGAAATGTCCCCAAAAGGGGAAGTGCCGAGGGGGCTGGAACAATTTTCCCGCGGTATTGCCAGTAAACCCACTTTAAACGTTGACCTTGTGTTACATTCGGTAGCGACGTTGGCGTGCTGAAAAAAATCCCTTCATCATAGATAACATCATTTATATCCCACCAAACAGAGCATATTGCCTTCTTAGGGTGTAATACTGATTTTGGTACAGGTACAGGCTTTTATTGGTGTCGTAATCATTACCTCTTTTGCTGAATATGATTATAAAGTGCCATCATTTTATCACTGGAGATGATCTTTTCAGAAATGATTTGGTTGCTTGCCTTTTCCTTAATCTTACTTATTATAAAACGCAGATTGTGTGTGTGTGTCTGTACGTTTATATATTGGATCGGATTTCCTACATTTTTCAACCGATTTCAACAAAACTTCACAGGACTGCGTAAAATTACCTTGCGGTGGTTCTGACAGCGCCAAAAAATGGGAAAAACACAATTGTTTTGGCACTAAATCAATTTGAAAACACGATAAAACACGATTCTGTCGCCAGAATGAAAGGGGGGCAACTCATATCGAGTTATACTTATAAAACCCAGGTTGTTTGTGTGTGTGTGTGTGTGTTCGTTTATATATGGGATCGAATTTCCTACATTCTTCAACCGATTTCAACAAAACTTTACATGTTTTTGGCAGGTAGTGTTTCTTATTGTCTTGCACACTTTTTACTTTATTTTTACATTCAGAATGCTTTAAAAATTCCATTTACAAGACAATTGTTTATAATAAAATTCTATTTAATCGATAGACTCATAACGATTGAAAACAATGTTTTTGTTTGAGTTTGACCAATTCGTAAAAAAAACCAAAAAAAACATACAAAAAAAAAAACTAATTAAGACATGCGTGTCCGTCAACCTTAAACAATAATCTTTGTCAATTTTATTTTTCAGTCTTTATGATGGTCGATACTTGATCTATCTCTTACTGTTACATCCCCGGGCAACGCCGGGCTCTACTGCTAGTAACAAATAAATGTGAATGTTGATTATATTGAGAATCGGTCAGATAATGTGGCAGACATGTATCCTTGCTTTATTGAAAGACATATTTCTTAGAGTTTTTCTTTTGTTTTGATATATAATAGCCTTGTATAGAAATGTTAGATTCTGCGAAAATTTTTGTTTAAAATATATCTAAAGAAGGAACAAATAAAATACAGTATAGACAAGTATAAAAAAGACCCAGATCACAGCAAGATGAACGTATACCATCGAAATCAGGAGAAAATAATTATTTTAACTCGTGTCTCCATCTCACGTCTGTAGATAAAAGATTTCTCGGCGTAATTGCTACCCAACATAGCATATCCAGACAAAACTGAATATTTCCTGTTAAATATGGAAAAAAAGAATTAACGTCTGCTTTAGTGAAAATGAAAATCGGTATATAAAAAAAATTGGTTCGTTTTTTTTGTTTTTTTTTTTAAATTTGACGTTTTTTTTTGTATACAAACAATGCTGTTCTTTTTTATTTTTATTGGTGAATTTTATTATACTCTATATTTTATTCTTATCTTATTTTATTTACTACCCGTTTCAGATGTTGGGAGATATGAAATTTCTCGATTCATTGAAAGAATACGATAAAGATAATATTCCAAGTCATATTATTAAAAAGATCCGAGAAAAATACATCACAAATAAAGATTTTGACCCAAGCATTATCAAGAACATTTCATCTGCTTGTGAAGGGCTTTGCAAATGGATTCGGGCCATGGATATATATGACAGTATTATTAAGGTTAGTGGTTTTATTTTTTATGGGCGAAAAAGTGTTAATGTGTGTTGTTACAAAAATATCAGACCATTTCTGATGGAATTCTTTCATTTTCATTCTACAAAATTCTTCATGTATGCAGTGTGTATCGAAAATACATGCTGTCATTTTAAGAAGAAACGTTATCATTCTATGACTTTTTCAGACGATTCAAACCATTCTTTGTGTCTTTTTTGTTATTACATTTCAGCTGGTCTATTCTATACGTACACAATATATATAGCATTGGGCCTTGAATAAAAAAACATCCGATTGGGTTTTGGATGCCGTTTCTTGTCTAATTACTATGGCTGGATGCAGAAAAAGTGGCTGGATTGAAAGTTATCCCATTGTCGAAAAATTCCGTACGGTGGAAAACAATTGAAGGGATAATTCTGCTTTGTTCGTGTCTTTCAACAACAAGACGACACGTGGCTACAACTATATGTTGGAAAAGGGAAAAGCAAATAGGGTTCCTTCTTCGTGTCCGTTCACTGGGGTGGACTCTTAGCTGGCAAAAATAGGTTACTATTTTATTGAGTATAAACTCATCAAAATTCCTATTTAAACCTGCCGGCTTAATTAAGAATTCATAAATTCCAGCACCCAGTTGAAACTCGCCCCAGATTAAAACCTTTTTTCGATTCTAGTCAGAGATGTCTTACCACGTGCTTTGAGCTATCCTGGCCAATTCGTTTAATGAATGTCATCGTATATCACTACAGGTAAAAAAAAAAGTAATCTCCCTCTTTACAAACTTTAGGAAAACTGGAGAAAATATTAACTAATATTCCAATGTGCTCAATTCCCAGAAATAGAATAGGAATCGTATAGACCGGGGGGGGGGGGCAAAACTTACTTAATTTAACAGCCATGTCCGATAATGTTCAGATGTTTGAGATCCGCAAGACATGAACAAAATTTACATACGTTTTTGTTATAAATATTTAGAAATGCATGTATGCAATAATATTTATCAATATATGCAGTTTAATTTGTATTGGTTCTAGTAATCACAAAGTACACACACACATACACACACACTCATATCTATCTATCTATCTATCTATCTATCTATCTATCTATCTATCCCAAATATTTTCAAAATCTTGACTGATGATCGTTTTAACTATCAGTCAGTTATGGGCCATGCGTAATACACGCTTAGTCGATCACGTATCTTTCCATACATGAGTGACAAGGTAGATTTTTTTCCCGCAGTAGGTTGCTATTTTTTTTCTGCGGTAGACCAGTTGCCATCCAAGGATATAGAACCCAGTCTGACCTGCTATTTACTCATAGCTGTGGCGGGAGGGAGAAGAAGAGGATTCATACTTTTCCAAAGAGTATTAGCACGTAAGTGAATGCAATGGTTTCGACTGGAATTCGAACTCGGCTCTCCGATTCCGCAGTCCGAGCCTCTATTAACCCGTTTTAACTATACTGATCATATTTAATAGGGTAAATTACTGTGATCAAAAAAGGAGCTCAGTCAACATATTTCTACGAGTCGCGTATGTGGCTCGTGCGCTGCGGTTTGGCCACCCCGATATAGATAATACCAAAGAGATATGCATATATTTTCTTTATCTGAAAAAGGGTGTACAAAATATCTGTCGAAACAGTGTGGTAATAGCAAAAACAACACACACACACACACACACACACACACACACACACACACACACACACACACACACATACACAAAATGAGTTCACTCGCCCAAACAACATGTGGGACATTTTAGATATTTTATGATTACTAATAAAGTAATTTTAATAATGAAGTAATTTTACTAATGAAATAATTTTACTAATTAATTAATTTTATTCACAAATGATCTTAGCTCTGAACCCTTAAATGAAAGTGTAAACATTAGTCGGCAAATTTTAATTTTACAAATTAACTCAGAATTTAATATACGTTTTATTTATTGCCAAAGGGATGGGTAAATATGAAAGAATTATTTTAATTTATATTTTTTATTAATGTCAGGCAAATTAATGACAAAGTAGAAACATTTTTTTGTGTGATGGATTTCGTCTTATTTTTTGTTGATCTTCAAACTGGAAGGCAAGAGGCAGTAAAAGATTTCCTCAAACAAAAAGTTATTACGGTTATATTCAGCCATTTCA